TAAATAAATAAATAAACAAACAAACAAACAAACAAACAAACAAACAAACAAACAAACAAACAAACAAACAAACAAACAAACAAAAGAAGTACAGTAAGCAGACCAGAATGGAGGCTATGTTTTGGTTTGAGGGAGGGTTCCAATTCCCTGAACCCCACACTGTCCTGCAGCAACTCATGGGACACAGACTTATATACATACTGTACATATACATTTGAAAGCCATTGGCCAGAATCCTATTGCAGATTTACGTCTGCTTGTACTGTATTAAGAGAAATTGCATAAGTCTTAGAAGTCCACACACACACACACAGGAATGCAACCAGCATCTCATTAATGAGTAGCAGTTTGCCACCAAGACTTAACAATTCCCCCCATGCAAGTGTAAATTGACAATAGGATGCTGGAAACTGAATACAAGACAGGTCCCTCTCCCATGAGCAATATGGGTATATTTCTGTTCTGTTCACAGGGCGGAATCTGGGGACTTTTTGATCAGCAAGGGTGGAAATATTATCTGCCACCATCCTCTTCTCTCAGAGATCAGCTGCTGTCACACAATGCAGAATAGGAGGGAAACTGTAGAAACAACACCTCTCTTATTGGGAAATGTATGTGAAGCTGCCTTGGCAGTGAATGCACAATTAAAAATCATTAGCTTTACAAAAAACCTGCTTGTGAGGAACTGTCACAATGAGCTGCTACACTCCCAAAATTCACTGAGTATTATAAAGAAGTTTGAAATTAGGTCTGGCACACAAAATTCACTTTTTGCTGTGTTTCTTTCCACCACCTATAAAACAAACGGCATTCTTCTGTAAACTTTGGAGTGTGACTCAGTATCTGAAAGCTGCAACTTTTAATTAAGACTCAAGAGGATTGATTGACATGGGTAGAGATCTGATCAAGTCTCCATTTGACACTGATGAGAATAACCTGTGTAAATAGTTACTCCAGACCAAGGAACGGGTAGATGAGCAGGTTAATGTTCAAGCACCAAAGGGCAGAAAGATGGGATGCCTCCCAGGATCTGATTCTCATCTGCATTGCAACTGTGGAATCAATTAATCTTGTCTCACTACCTGGACAGATATTTTTTACCACCTCATTGCTTTTTCTATGGCTTGCACACAAACCAAAAATGGTTATTTCTCAGAAACAATGGAGCAAACAAGTCAACTTCCATGCATTATGTACAGGAATTGTTTTAAAGCCATTCTGGACTCTCTCTCTTTTTTATTATTATTTTTTAAAGGCTTCATCTAGTGTTTTTTCCTCCCCAAAACCTACTTCTCTCCAATATCCCCACCTTTTAGCGGAAGTTGTTTCAAGTCCTGGGTCCATGTTGGCTTGGATACCTAGAGCATTATGTTGCGTACATATTCATAGAATGGAGCTGTGCTTTGTGTACCAAATTAGTACAGTACAAATTAGACTTGTAAAGTAAAGGTAAAGGTTCCCCTTGACAATTTTTGTCCAGTCGTGTTCGACTCTAGGGGGCAGTGCTCATCCCCGTTTCCAAGCCATAGAGCCAGCGTTTTGTCCGAAGACAATCTTCCGTGGTCACATGGCCAGTGCGACTTAGACACGGAACGCTGTTACCTTCCCACCGAGGTGGTCCCTATTTATCTACTTGCATTTGCATGCTTTCGAACCGCTAGGTTGGCAGGAGCTGGGACAAGTGACGGGCGCTCACTCCGTCACGTGGATTCGATCTTACGACTGCTTGGTCTTCTGACCCTGCAGCACAGGCTTCTGCGGTTTAGCCCACAGCGCCACCACTTCCCTTACAAATTAGACTTGACCCTTCCTTATTTTACATTGGCCTATCCTGTGGCCCCACCATTGGCATGCTCAATAACTCTTCCCAAACTGGGATTCAATCTCAAAAGATCTTCCCGGTCT